AGAACTGAAACAACACAAGTTTATGTGGAAAGAGGAAATGTTTCTTGTCTGTGGTTGATCCACACAAATGATTTTTATTTCTTCCCAAAAGTTCCCCACCAAGACTAATGTAATTAATATTTTCAATGCCCTGCCAAAAGTGCTCAGATTGGCCTCTGCCTCAGCAGGACTGGGGCAAGGTTCAAAGTGCAGTTTGTGCTGTTGGGGTAAGGTGGTGCTGATCTGACTGTCCTTGATAATGGTAGAGATTTTTCTCTGGAAAACACAGCACAAATTCTAATGGCCAACTTGTGTGACAGGAAAAGTACAGCATCCACTATGCTTTACATTTTCAGAGAAGCGAGAGGTAATGATGCACTCAACTGCTACTGAAGATGCACCCAACTGCTACTGAATTTCAGCAAGATCTGCCAGAAACAGGACTAGAGGAAATAGCCACAAACTGAAGCACCGAAAGTTCCACAGGAACTTACAGAAACATTTCTTGACATTGAGGGTGACAGAGCATTGGAACAGATTGCCAAGAGAAGTTGTAGAGTCTCCTTCTCTGGAGATCTTCAAAACTTGCTTGGACGCGACCCTGTGCCACACGCTCTATGTGACCCTGCATGTGCAGGAGGGTTGGACTAGATGATCTCTAAAGGTCCCTTCCAACCTCAACCATTCTGGGATTCTGGGATCTGGGTACTCAGGCCTCGTTACCTCCTTTGAAACATCAGGTCAGAAGGTAAGACAGAAATGTGGTGCAGGCTGGTGCAGGGTGAAAGATGAAGTGATTCAAGAAGGGAGCACATGTAACAACGTCTAAGTCTAGCAGCTTTCAGTCACAGGTATCTGGGGTTCCTCTCAAACCTGCTGTTTGTGTTGTGGAAGGGCACAAACCTTCTGTCAGTTTGTGGTCTCCTCTGGCAGGTTACCTTTACCACAGCATTTACATGGTGGCAGGGCTAAGAGCTGCCCGTCCTGTCCGGAAGGGCTGCGGCTAGGCCTGGCTGACTTCGCAAGCTGAGGATGGAAGCCAAGCAGAGGAAAGCCCATCTCCAGGCACAGCAGTCTCCTCTGGTGCACGCCTCAGCTGAAATGGCTGTGAAGCTACAAGGCCTAGGGAGGCAAAGGCTTCGTTTTGTAGCTCAGGCTTCGTTTTGTAGTTTTGAGGTGCTGAGGCCCTGCTGTCTTTCTGCCCCGGATACTGAGCGTAAACCCACGTGTTGCCTGCTGTGGGCCTGCCCAAGGCCAGTAGTGCTGGCTGTGGGGCAGAGTGCTCTGGCCTGGCCTCTGTCCTTGCCCCTGCCGTTGAGATGGTATCTCTTCAGCCACAGCTCTACGTAACTGAAAGAAGGGGCAGCCCCCAATCCCTGAGGAAGACCTTTCTGGAAGACAGTT